ATTACTAATGCTTTCATATAGCTAAAATAATCTAATTTTTTTATTCTAAGTCTTAAGGTTTATTAAAGTACTAATGTTTTTATCCTGCCTTTTTTCTTTTCACATGTTGCTTATCTATCATGCAAAGTAATATTTATTTTAAGATTAACAATACTTGTATGCATCAGAAAATTTTTATAATGTCCAGATAGTTATCAAATGTTTTTTAAGAAAAAACTTTATATTTTATCTGTTATATTCAGTAATTAATCTCTGTACGAGTTCAGTAGATTTGACCGATCTGACAACACCATAAAAAATTAGGAAATAAATATAAATTTTGCCTATTTCATTTTAGAATGAACACAGGTTATAACATGAAAACATAATGTTTAGCTTAAATCTCATAACATTATACATTTATATATATTCATTATATTGACCTTTCAGCCGTGCCTGGCTAACAATACAGAAGATACAATGACGCAGCTCATGTGCACTCATATTACCATATAGAATAACATAAAACTGACCTTTGGTCTGTACAAAGTATCTTGTCTTGGCTGTGTTTTAGTCGACTAGTATTTTGTAAAATACGGTCACATTTGAATTATTATACATTATATATGTACATAGATTATTGCTATTTTGAAATAAGTTATTAAACTTATTTTTCTTAAAACATAGAACAGTAACTAAAGAAGTAAAGTAAACAATTATCGATTCTAGTTACAACCTTTGAACTCGGTTACTAAACCTTTAAAAAATTTGAATATGAAGGATATGAAACAAATAATTTTTTTAGGTTTTATATATACATTTGAGTAACTAAAAAATCATAAATCACTACACTAATACCATACAATTCCACTATAAGTTATCAAGCTTAGTAACTAAGATGTATTTCAGACTAAAGACACACCCTACTTTGTTGAAATATTGGTTTAAAAGAAAGAAATAGCGCCAAGCCCGTTCAACTGGCTGATAAAGCCACTAGGGTACATCCTGAGCTTCTGATTAGTTATTCATGTCATATATAAAAGTGTTCATATGGAGCATTTCCAAAAATGGAAAGAGGATGGGCAGGGTGCCACTGTGTTTAATTTATTATATGAGCAATAGCTTAGAAAACTGAAAAGATAAGAGGTTTTTATTTTATATTCTAGCTTGTCAATACCAGTAATTTGAGTTTTGAATTTGTATGAAATACATTTGATGAATTAAACAGAATAATTTATTTTTAGCTTTGGCCTGCAGCTCAGTTATTCAACTTTTATATAGTGCCTTTTCAACATAGGTAAGTAACAACTGGATTTAATCATATCCAAATTGTATATATAAATAGAATTACAAATGTGTGGAAAAAAAGCATTTTAACTTTGCTTTGAAAAGTGGCTCTAATCTGAAGGATTATTTGATTTTTTTAGCCGTGTTCATTTGGGAAATATTTTATTAATTTCAGAAACTAACATTGGTTTTACGTCTACCTAATGCAAAGAATAAATTGACCATTTGGAATAATATTCCAAAGACTTTTCAGTTCTTAAAAATGTACAGTTTGCAATTGTTTTTCTTGAAAAATAATTGATGCTCCATTTTAAGGCTGGCTCAGAGAGGGCAAGCACGAATCATTATTCTTTTTACTGAAGTTGTGAGTGAAGTGAATAAATTCATACATACATGCTGAATGAAAAAAATCTATTAATTTTTCCAAGGGCTGTGCCCTGCTAATGCCCATGCATCAAAAGTTCCAAGAACTTTTCAAATTTACTACTAAATGAGGGATACATTTAACTTTGTACAGTAAATCTTTCAGTTCACATTCTTGTACTGTAATTAACTTTCCTTGAAATTTTGTTAGAGTTATGGTTGTCAACTTGGTGGCACTGTTCTGGAATACCTACCTAGCATGGAAGGCCAATACTAACAATGTGGATTAGGTGAAAAGACCAAAATGATTGACCACACTACACATCGAAACTTGTGTAACTGGGTTTTTACTCTACAAATATGAACTGATCATGTGAACAAAATCAGTATTTTAAAATAAGTGCTTTTAAAGTATAAAAATTGAGTAGTGAAAGATCTGTAATAGGTATTAAAAACAGTTTTTTTTTTACAAAACACTAATGCCCAAGTGTACTTTTTCAATCCTTCTCTGAAAGGCATGTCAGTGATATTCCTTATTACCCATTATAAACTTTAGTATGTTGTTGCTTAAAGTTCAAGCATTTTTAGGTTAACTTAAAGTCATTACCAGAGAAATTCTTCAGTATGCAACGTTTTTAAATATGGAATTTCACTACCTTAACCTGTTAATTGAAGGACTTCTGGCTACAAGATGTACAAAAACAAAGGGGAGGGGTCTGTAATCCAGGACAAGACTGTTCAAAATAGCATCACAAATAACCTTAAAAGCTATGTAGGAATTTACCAATAGTATATTTAGTTAATGAAGTCATATCTTAATTAATCCAGCAATTGTTTTCAAGTATTTTGACATCTGTACGCTTAACTGTTTTAAGGAGAAATATTTAAATAAATCAAGATCTCAAATCTATAGTTCACTTTTAAACCTCAAGACACCAAGTTACTGCTCAAACTCCAAATCACACTTTATAAGCTGCTGGTGTCTAATTAACTAATCAAACAACATGTGATACCATAATATAGTGGGAATGAGAAACTTTAGTATATTAGTAACAGAGGAAGCAAGAAATAAGCCCCCCCCCCCAAAGATAAACTTATGTATTGGAATAAGTAAAGATACTTCAGAACTAGCTTGAATACCCTCATTAAATTCAAGAATTGTGAGCTTTTTCTTTAAACTAAATACCAGTCATTTTTATATTAAAATCATGCTTCAACTTCATACATTAAGTGTTTCAGAACATTAATTTACAATATTTCAGTAGAATATTTACTTTATTGACAGTTTCCCTGTGCTAATTTATTTGCTTGATGATCATAAGGTAAATCATCACATTACTGATAATAATTACAGATACAATTTTCTATGAGGGTAGAATGGTGATTAAGTTGCTAAGCAAGGACACGTTCCTACCACATCACACATTTCTGTTCAAGGTACGAGAGAATTATAAGCATGGATTAAAACATTTTTATTTAACAAACACTAGTGACAAGTACAAACTGGCAACATAATAGCATTGGTCACCTTTTCTTCTGAATTCTTTTCTATGAAACTTGTGGCAAAGCAACCAAATGTGTAGAAACAATATAATAACACGAAATAGATAGATTCTGCTTTTAGAGAAAAAAATTAACTGCTTTGTACACTCCTTACATTTTTCAAAATAAACACTAATCCTGGTAGCCAGGACAGATTCTGTTAACAGTTCTGTAACTTTGGCATTCAATACTACGTTCCCCACTTCTAGCTATTTCTTTTTAGTAGCCTTTTCTGCAGCCTTGGTCAGCTTAGCAGATACATCTTTATTTGTCTTTGCCTTGATCACACCTACAGCCACTGTCTGTCTCATGTCTCGGACAGCAAAACGACCAAGGGGAGGGTAATTGGTGAAGGTCTCCACACACATGGGCTTTGAAGGAACTAGTTCCACAATAGCTGCATCACCAGATTTTATAAACTTTGGATTATCTAAGAGAAAAAACAACAATAATAGTAATCAAAAAGTAAAATACTTAAACTCTCAGTTAATAGTAGAAATTCTTAATTCATTGTAATTATCTAAATTCATAAATACTTTTATAGCTGAAGCTTAGTTTTCTAAATAAAAGAAACTTACCCTCAAGTTTTTTGCCAGTACGTCTATCACACTTTTCTTTGATCTCCTTGAACTTGCAAGCTATATGAGCTGTATGACAATCCAGAACTGGGGCATATCCATTGGTGATCTGACCAGGGTGGTTTAGGATAATCACCTGAGCTGTAAAATCAGAAGTGGCTTGAGGGGGATCATTCTTACTGTCACCTGCTACATACCCACGACGAAGCTCCTTCACAGAAACATTCTTTACATTAAAACCAACATTATCACCTGGTAAAGCCTCGGTAAGAGATTCATGGTGCATTTCAACAGACTTAACTTCAGTGGTAATCATGGCAGGTGCAAAAGTGACCACCATCCCAGGTTTCAAAATACCAGTCTCAACCCTGCCAACAGGAACAGTTCCTATGCCTGCAAAGATATATAATCATAGTTATAATAGTAACAAAACCTTAACAGAACACAAAACAGACTAGTATATTTACAATACTACTGAAAAAAAGAAAACTAAATGAGAAACATACCTCCAATTTTGTAAACGTCCTGAAGAGGAAGACGAAGATGCTTGTCAGTGGGTCGAGACGGTGGTTCTATACAATCTAGAGCACCAAGAAGAGTTTTTCCTTCCACTACCTGACTTTTGCGTTCAATCTTAAAGCCCTTGAACCATGTAGTGTTGGTACTGGGCTCCAACATGTTGTCACCATTCCACCCAGATATGGGAACAAAAGCAACAGTGGCAGGGTTGTAACCTATTTTCTTAATGTATGCACTAACTTCCTTTTGGATTTCCTGAAAACGTTTCTGTTGGAGAAAAATATTCACTGCTTTATTAAATTAATTAATACTATGTATTCTTATCATAAAAAGTATTAACTAACTTTTATGATCAAAATTAAGATCTAAACATTGTGCAGTAAATAATGGTTGGAGACGGCTGTTATGTTAAACTTATATTAACGTTTTTCTTCATCACCCATTCAAGCTATCTCCAACCATTATTAGTCTCAAAGTGGGTCCTCGTCACCGAAATTGTGCAGTGAAGTAGTTTTTACTTAACTTAAATTTGTTTCCACCGACAAGGTTACTGTGCCATATTTTTTACATATGGCACAAGTAACTGCTTTGTATGGTAAAAATTTATACACCAGTGACCATAAAAATATTGAACTCTGTAATGTTAAATCAAAACAAAAATTGTTTTAAAATAAGCTATAGAAAAATAAGGATATAGGAACACAATCAGCAAGATATACAAATACTCACGTCTCCCCCCCCCCAAGTATCTTTTATAAATAACTTGCAAAATATCAATGTAATACAACACTGTTTGATCTTTCAGCAAAATGCAAGGTATTAGTTTAGCAATTAACCAGCAACTTAATCATGCTTACTTCACTGTAGGGAGGTTCTGTGGTGTCCATTTTATTAACCCCCACAATCATCTGCTTCACACCCAATGTATAGGCCAACAAGGCATGTTCTCTAGTTTGACCATTTTTTGAGATGCCAGCTTCAAATTCTCCAGTTCCAGCAGCCACAATTAACACGGCACAGTCAGCCTTTGAAGAAAAACATTTTATGGAAGTATCAAATATACTAGCACCAAATTCTGCAGTTGTAGTTTTGTTTTTTAGTTTTAACCCTTGGGAACCACTTAGGTAAAAGTGTACAAAATGAACTATTTACAGTTAAACACAATTTAAACTAATTTATTAACTATGTACTTAAATAAACTTACACAAAACAGTTACTATTATACACATTTTAATTTCAAAAAGATACATTTAAATAAACTCTCAATCTTAGCTTCTTTATGACTACACTTTTTGCTGCCAAATTACCAAACTAAATTATTTCCACCCACATTTCATCTTCAGTTTCAATAAAAGTCAAACCCACCTGCCATATACCATTATACATGAAATTAAGTAATTTGTTTTACTGAACCTGAGCAATTTGCTTCCAAGGTGTTTAAGTTTTGTTACATATTTTAGTGCTCAGACACGGTTTAGAGCAAGTAAAACAATTAAAATGTAAACTTATGAGCCTAAAACTGTTTAGGATAAGTAGTTCTGCAGTCATTGTAAAAAGAGAAAAGGGTAATTTAGATTATGCGATTTACTGTGGTGGTTATAAGGTCAGTAATTAAGCCCCTAATATTAAGAGAAAATATAATAGTTCTGCTGAAAAAAATAGGATATTCATGTAAAAAGGTTAAGGTTATGAAAACGAGACTTGAAGACTAAAATGAAAAACGTATTTTTAATCTAAACATGAAAATCTTGCAGTCACTAGTCAGAATGACATCAGACATTCACAGAAAAACTTAGTATAAATACTTAATCTGATTTTGTGTACAAGATTTAATTTTCACTAAAAACTGTTTTATGGTGGTTACAAGGTTTATCAAAATGAGAAAGCCTGCATAGAAACCTTCTTAAAGTCATGAAGCAAAGAGAAATCATCACTTGGAATGGATATTTATAAAGGAGCAAGAAAATACCAACCTGAGATGTTCCAGTGATCATATTCTTGATGAAATCACGATGTCCAGGAGCATCAATAACAGTAATATAGTATTTTGGGGTCTCAAACTTCCACAGGGTGATATCTATTGTAATACCACGTTCCCGTTCAGCTTTCAGCTTATCCAAAACCCAGGCATATTTGAATGAACCCTTACCAAGCTAGAAGAGAACCCCGAAAACAGCATTAGTATCGCTATCTACTTTTCTATTACAAACATATCCCAAGAGAAAGACATTTCTAATTAATTTACAATACAAGATAATTTACATAACACCTTCACCACTTCCAAATTTTTTGGTAGAACTAAGTTTGGGGATATTGAATTTTTTTTTAATAACAGAACAATGTCAGAATTCCTGTATTGTCACAATTTAGGATATTAAATGGCTAAAAGTTTTGGGTTAATATGAAAGCATTATCTAGAACTTGACAACTGAAACTTATAGTCAATTAGTTTAATATTAATTAGCTCAAGAATTAATCAGTTATTTTCAGAACATTTGGAATAAATCCAACTTTTTTTTACAAGTTGTAACACTAATCAATTAACTCAATATTACAAAGCTAAACCTAGAATTAATCAAAAATTATGAGAAATAAGGACAATTACTTAGTTGGAATAAAAGAAAAGCTACTTGTATTTGGCAGCACCAGAAGCACATGCAAGACTTCACGTTATACACTATTTACTCAGTACACCAAAGACTAATACAGTTAATGATTAAGTTATAAAATATACTGCATATTTTGCCAAAGGAAGTCATAATTGAAAATATTTAGGTTAACCAATTTCCTGGCTATTGGAATTTTAGTTTTATTCCACAATTTAAATATAAATGCTGACTTGTTAAAAACAAGAGAACATTGAAACATGAAGTTATATATTTTGATAAGAGTACTTGGCACCATTACTATGCTTAGCAGAGATTCTCAAACTGTGGTATGTGAAGCTAATTTCAGTGGTACACGACACAACATAAAATTTGTAATAAGCCCTATCTAAGCTTTCCATATACATACTACTCAAATCACTTATACCAGTATTTTATTTCCCTAAAAATTGACAAAAATCGTACCACATATTCTTCAATTTAGGCTGTCATTTATCATTAAAAAAAAACAAAAAAAAAAGACTACTTGCATTTGATACCTCACAGTTCATAAATAATTTTACAGAGTGAAATATCAGAGTAGTACAAGTATAAAAACAAGAAATGTGACAACTTGAAAATATTAAGATACATTTTGCAAGTTACTCACAGGAAAAGTTTGAAAAAGATCTCCATTTATACACACAAAAAAAAAGTTCCTACATATCAGTACTAGTAATCCAAGATTTACTTATTAACAAACAGTGGCAATATCAACAGGGTTGTACATCAAAATTTGATGTTTGTGGCAACAACAGCTTGGTTTGGTAAGAGGATTTAACTTTGAATACAGATTTTAAAGATAACTTTAATTCTTATCAATAATAGCTTAAAGATACCTCAGCAGCTTCCTTCTCAAACTTCTCTATGGTTCTCTTATCAATACCTCCACATTTGTAAATAAGGTGACCAGTAGTTGTAGACTTTCCAGAGTCTACATGGCCAATGACCACGATGTTAATATGAAATTTTTCCTTTCCCATTTTGAAGTGTGTGTGGTATTACTTTGCTACAAATCCTACAAAAGAACAAATTGAATTTTACAAATAAATCTGGACAGAGGAAACAGTATTGTTATAACAATTATTAATAAACATATTAAGAATACTGTTTTAGTACAAGCTATCCATGAAGTTGTGTAAAACAAAATCATTTATTTCTTCAAAACTTGCATGATAAAGAATAAATGCTCCCTCCCTCCCTAGACCATTTCAAATTCCAAAGATGAAAAAATTTAAAAGTGTTATTACCTTCTCTCTTCATTTACAACACTAAGAATAGAAATGAACAAAAAACCCAAGTCTCTATACATTTATTTCATTAAGCTAGTTTAATTTAATTTTCAAGACATAAAAATTAAAGTTCAGCCTAGCTTACAAGTTACATAACACGTGTTGTTAATTAGGCCAAACAAATACGTGATAACAGCTCTCATATTATATAAAAGTTTATTATCAAAAACAGAAGATCAGTAACGTTAGTCAAGTGACGATATTCAATTATAATGATTAATATAGTTTGAAGTTCTAGAATTTCACTAGTAGTAGTAATACAATAGTACTATTAATTTCAAGATTATCATTGATACCAATTTTTCCACGAAAAAATTAAATAATAGTTTCTAGACTTCCGTATTCCATAAATTTCCTCTTTTACGCTGCGTCTAAAAGAAAGTTATAATATATGCGTCAGTTTACCATTTAATCATTCTCATTAAAAATAAAATGGCGGACAAAGTGTACTTATTGAAATTATTCGACAAAGACAGTTGCGTAATATATTAAAACTGTCAATTGAAAAACTTCCCTTTCATAGATCACTAAACGTAGAAATAAAAACGTGTGGAAAATTGTTCATTTTATTATTCTAACGAAATGTAACAATAAAGATATCACCCCATCATATAATGCATTTTTCCTAATAGGTAATGTAGCCGTGTATCATTGTATGATATACCGGTACTCAAGAAATCTGAACATTACACCGCAACCTATTTCAAGATACCAAAATTATTTACTCATTCAAAAATGTAATTCTTAGTCTAACATTAAAGATTTTCTCTAAATTTAAAAAAAATTATAATTATCGATTATTTATTTTTCAAAAGATAAAATTAGATTCAAAATATCACCCATTCCATACTTACAGACACAACGAAAAGAGGGACTGACAAAATCGATCACGTGACTTAAATACGACATGCCGGAGATTAACTAGTGACGTCACAATGCATCCAGCCATTATTAGCTATTACATTTGTCTTATGAACGCTAAGTAATCTATAAAAAATGTTACTTTACTGATTTTTTTTTTTGCCGTGATACTCCAGATTTATTGCTTTTTTATTATTTGTGTATGTGTGTTTTAGTGCAAAATGTTTATATTATGTACTATTAAGGGAGGGACATAAAAGTTATAAGAGCCAAGAGTGTTTATCATGTGTATTTAATATAACTATAAGGTATATACTTAGTATTAAAGTAATTTTGGTGAAGTTTTTTAATTTTTTGATTGTAATAAAAGCCACTGGTCTCGTAATTATAACTTATAATGTGATATTTTTATATTATATATGAACTAGGGAGGAAAAGAAAATGTTCCAATAGCTAAGAACGCCTATTCGTATATCCATCCAAATTTTCCTGAATAAATTTGTTTACGATCACGGTACGTTTACTTCTATGGTGAACATGCGATGTAAATGTAGATTAAAATAACAGGAATACGACAAATCAAACTATTTCTTAATTGTTATGAGTCAGTGATTTAAATTATTTCTAGAATAGCTTGTCATTACAAGCTTTTAAAATTAAAAAGAAAATACCCTAATTATTATTTTGAAGTTAGATCATGTTTCTTTCACTTTTAGTTTCACGGGTGAGTTCGCCTTATTATAATTTTAAATTTAAAAGCAAGCATATTAATAATTGCATGTTTTTATTCCTAAAATAAATGTATTGTTTCAGTTTTTTATAGGCCTACTAATACTATTCCAATATCAGTTGGTTAGGTCTACCTAATTTAATAGTTATTAAGTAATTTAACTTTTAATAATAAAGCGTAAGTTCACTAATATTTAGTTGTGGAATAACTCCACTGAGTAACAATAAAATAAGTGTCTAGTGTTACAATGATTAACAAAGATGTAAACCTCTATTCTTAAAAAAATGAATCATTGAAATCCATCTGGGTTCTTAGGGAAACCCTAGTAGGGGTTCAAACTTCAAGGAACAAATCAACCCTACATCGACATTTTAATTATCTTTTATGCAAGACAAGCTTTCGCTGAAAATAATGCTCTCTATATAGACACGAGTCCTTAGAAATCTTTCACAATTTTTTGTAATAAATGTAATTCTATTTTCTAGATTTGTGAGCGAGTTAATGCACTAGATTATTAAATGACATTCAGTTAGTGTAGGTGTAAAATTCATCATTATGAGAATAAGGGAAAAAATACTACTGACTGATTGCTTTACCATGAGTTTAGAATACATTTTTGTAAGATCCTGAGATAGTCATCAAATTAGTAAGATTTGGAAAGTCCATGGGAGGTGACATGTGTCTTAGGACTAAGGCTCAAAGCATGAAGATAAAACAATTAACAATACTTTATATCAAAAGGCTTGAGATAGCAGAATTAACAGATCAAAAACAAATTCAGAGTAGTACTAATGTGAATTATTCATACAAATCTTCAACTTGGGTACTCTAATCATATTTCCTTCACAATACATCACAAGTCTGAGACCTTTATCCTATAAATCAATGTTCTGGTACATTTCAACAAGATCATATCTTGCTTTTCTCAAGGGAAAATAAGTTATCTTAAATTATCTACGTAAGATAACCCTTTCATTCTTGTAATCAGCCAAGTAGCCCTCCTCTGAACCCTTTCCAAAAAGTCGGTCATTATCCTTTCTTGGATAAGGAGACCATACCTAACATAACATGTAAGGGACAACAAGGGGCCTTTTGGCATTGGTCCATCAAGGTTGTTCCATCCAAGTTAAAAAGAATAAATCCAGTCCTTATCATTTAATTAAATATTTATCTAACCTTCCCTTAAGCATACTACAGCACCACATCCAAAGATGGCCCATTCCGTGGTCAATGATCCTGTTAGAAAAACAAAACTATTTTAGGTGAAGATGACTTGTACCGTAACAAAATTTATTCATGTGTTCCTGTATTCTACCATTCTCACCATTAAGTATGAAAAAAGAGGATGCGTCAATACCACCATTCCATTAACAGTCTTTAACACCTCAATTAAAAACCACCTGTTTTCTCTTAAAAAAGAAATTTAAGAGATCTTAACACAGGTGCTGACTTGTCAAGAACTTTGAGAGGGCACCAAAAAATGGAGGTGTCATTACATTTCTTTATCCATATCATAAATGAATTACCAAATTAAAAAACATTTAAATTAGATAGGTCACCATAAATACAAAATTAACATAGCATAATGGAAAAGGTCAGCACAGTTATAATCAGAACCACCATTCATGGTATGTTGACTGATATATGAACACCTGAAGATAAATAAAAAAGGCATTTATAGTATATACCACACCAATCCTGTCAGATAGGTTATGTAGATGAAACTGGAAGAAGCATTGACACAAGAGTTTCTGAACTTAAAAAAGATAAATAAATATGGAAATACAAACAATGCCATTTTTATCCATATTAAAGATAGTGGCCATGAAATCAATAATTTTATTCAAAACAGATAACTACCTGTTAACTGTATGTTTCAAAGCTGTTTTTAATGGTAAATTTAATATGTTAGTATAGTTTTGTAGTATGGCCTATATTTCTTACTTTTTTTTATTTAAAAAGAAATAGTCAGATAGTTTAATAAGATCTCCTGGCCTCAGACCATTAACGTGGAAGCATTGATTTGGACAGTTTTGGCTTAGTTTTGTGAAAGATAACTTACTTTTCTATTAAAAAATAATAATATTCTGACCTACTTCATAGTTATATACATCATTATTTAGCTGTGATGATTTATGAAATGTTTTAAACTGGTTTGTTGTTCTAATTTGTTGTTCAAGTTTTTTACACATTCTCTTGAATTTGGCCTACAAATGGTAAACATATTATCCCTAATATTCAGGGTTGCATTTCACAACTTTCTTTCCATCACTTGTGGATAGCTTATTCGAAGAATTTTAAACAAATCACAAGATTATTTGTGTGTTTGTGAACTACAGCTAAATACTCCAGAGGGAGGTGTACTGAATCTTTTATTCTATACCAAGAATTATTGAAACATATATAGCTGAATCCTTAAGAAAAAAAAAATATATATACATTATAACTTTCACAAGTTAAACAAAATGTACAATTTTAAGATGCGAGTCCAGGACTTTTGCAAATGAAACAACTAACATTCTGACTTCTAACTAAATAAAATAACCTTTGCACAAGAAAATAGGAAAATAATCTGAGATAGAAACCTAACTTTACTATTCATCACAAAATCTACTTAATAATACACCTTCAAGCTTTAAATATATCTTTGAATTCTAACCAAGATTCAAGTAATATCAAATCTACAACCCCACATTCTTAAGTATCTAGTTTATCAGTCTTTTATTTGCTACCAGATGATAGTACAATTTAACAAAACATCTAATCAACTTGTTTACGTAGTGACAGACAGATTGGTTTACATGTAACCAGGATATCATGACAAAGTCATCACGTTCATCTCGTATTAAAATCTTCATGAAATTCCATACCCTAAATCATTTTTTTTACATTTAAAATTGTCCACATTTAGACCAATTTTTTCAAGACTCTCCAAGTGATCCTGAATAATAAAAATATCAGTATCACACATTCCTAGATTTTGGTAAGGTCACATATGCTTATTGTGTATTGTCTCATCATTTAATGAATTTTATGCTAGTGTACAACTTTTATATGATACCTCTAGGTGTTAAGTAAACTGTCCTGACTGAGGTTTGTAGCATGCAACTCCTGTCAACACTATTGTTTATCAGGAACATACTTTTTAGTAGAATATATAGTAATGTAATTATATGGGTGTGTTGTGGTAAGGATTCTTCTACAGTAGGTGTCTATGATTTGTTGGTGATAAATTCAACAGTAAACAAACAGCATGCACTCCACTTGTTTATAAATAATACATGTATTCGAAACAAGTTAAATGTATGTACAAAATTCTTTACACTATGGAGATCATAGTTGTATCTTAAACACTATACAGTTCTTGTCAAAAGTCCACTTAGGCCAATTCAATTGCTTTAGAATTCAGTTTACAAGCCAAACTCTTTTATCTATTTTTTTGTCACAATAGTATCCATGTATAATTCACTTACATTGTCGCATGAGTTACGGCAGTTGTATCCTGAACTTCCAGTAATCATATGCTTTTCATATTTCCAATAATCATCTGTTCTTTGTACTTCCAATAATCATCTGCCTTTTGTCAAAGTCCACATAGGCAGGTTCAATTAGTTTAGAACACCCTTTGACAAGACAAATTATTCTCCTTATCTCTTTCAAACTGTTAATCTCACTCTAACATATCAACTGTTAGACCATTCACTCCCATGATGGTTAACTTTAGGTTTTTTAAACTTTTTTTTCTGACCAAACCTCTCTTTTACATGACTTTACTTTTAATTTGTTTTTGCTTGTCTCGTCACAGCTATTTATTTTAGACCATTACAAACTGTTTCAGTAACCCATAGTTTTTGAAGTAACCTTGTTATATTTAGAAGAAGTAAGTTTGAAACTTAGTTTTCTGAAAATCTTATTCATTTCCTTGTATATTCAGATCTTTAATTCTAATTGTGGACTCTTGAATAACAATTCACAGATTACTTATCTGATGATTTTTAAAATTTTGTCTTATCGGTGAATGTCTAACAGCTGTAAAAATTTGAAATGTTTTCAGTGATATGTTTTTTGTAGCATCACAGAGGAGAAATTACAGATAACAGTATGTTAATTCCATTATTTAGTTCAGAGTTTATTGTATATAGGTGGTTATGAAAAATAGAGAACTACTGTATGACTTAAAAGTGTATTTTGTGTTTAAGGCTGCCTCATACATTATTGATGTTCTCATTCTTGTGTTTATACATGTTACATGATGAATTCCAATTGCAATCTTTATTTTTTCTTAACTTTTAACAACAGTTTGTGATAAACATTTACTTTGATTATAAAGATATATTGCTTCTTAGACACTTTTTGATTTTTTTTTAAAAATCAGATTTATGTATGTTAAATTACTCTTGATAGTAAGATAGTGGTATAGCTAAACATTTTTCCAAGAAATTACAGACTGAGAAGTATATATATATATGCATATTTTTTCTATAACTTAGCTGCCTATTCAAACACGCACTCTTTTGCAATATGTACCATGCCGGTACAAATACCCTGATTGGAAGATGGTCCGAGATGCAAAAAGGCGAAAGATGGTGAAAGAATATGCTCAGCTGAGACTCAACATTAATTCTTTACGAAAAAATGATATATTGCCAGTTCAACTGCGAGTATGTACTGTTTGAAATTTTCTGTTTCATTTTTTGTGTTTAAAAGACATTAAAAAGTTCTTTTGAAATTGGATTTGTCTGTTAACTGACTAATTTGTTTGTTTGTTTTTTAAGTTAAGGTATTTATATTTACAGTTGTAAAATAAGAAAATTAATGTTCTTTGTTTTGTTTTTAATTAGTGCCAGATAAATCCTATAATAGTAATAAGTTAATATATACAATGGAAATTTGATGCAGACATGAACAAATATCATTGTAACAAAACACCATATTTTGAAAGTTGATGTTTTGTTCGTGGCATACAAAGTGAAGTTGGGGCATTTGATTAAATCTTTTTACTATAGAGTATATAGCAGCCCAAGGAAATTTTGTATTCTCTGTACTTGTAGCAAATAGAACCCAAAATCATTTTTCCTTATCTGTCATATGAAACACAATTATGCAAATAACACTTTGAAAGAAAATTATCAAACTACCTTTTAAATGAAACATTATGACATTAATACTTCTTTGATTACTACCAGAGTTCAGTCCAGAAAAATATTCCTAATTCATATGAAATATTTGATATCATACTGCAGTTATTCTGCCTTCAGAAATTTCATTATTGTTGTATCTACAAAAAAAAGTAAACAAATCTTTGAACCAAGTGTTTCATAGGTTAGTCACAACTCTAACATTACTCTCCTTACGGCCAATTCAAATAGATTGCTAGTTAATCATTCTTAGTTTAAAAAGGAGGATGGGAGGGTTATATTTTTCAGATCTCCAGTTCCACTGTGAAAAGAAAGAAATCAAGAGATATCAGTGACATATATCTGGTAATTGGAGAGTTAAAGAACTAGTCATTTTTGAGCAGAAGTTTCAAATAGGTAGAGCGTGCGAGGATGAGAGTTTTAATCTTTATTTGAAACAGTTTGTGCTTTGTGTTTATTTCAAAATACATTTTGATAGTTGTTTGTGAAATGAGAACAATGGGTAGGGGCATATCTGAGAGTGGGTCGAATGACCACTCCAGCATTCTAAAAAAAGTCTTGAAGATCCACTATCTTCTGATTTAAGAGTCTTATAAAGATTGTCAAAATAACATTATTTCATTTCAGGAAATTGCAGATGCTGAAATTGCTGCTCTTCCAAAGGATAGTTCCATCACACGAGTGAACAATAGATGTGCTATTACTTCTCGTCCTCGTGGGAATCTTCGAAGGTGGAGACTTTCTCGCATCATGTGGCGACACCTTGCAGATTACAATTACCTTTCAGGGGTTCAAAGAGCCATGTGGTAGATAAAGGTGTGTGTGTGTATGTTTCTTGTGGACCAGTTTATTCTAAAAAAAAAAAGTATTACATTTATAGTCCTTAAACTTCCCAGAAAAGTGCTTAGAAAATACAAACTTCTTTTCTATTCTGCATGAAATATTACTCAAATTCTTTTTTTTTATTCAAAATTATTATAATGAAAATGCATTGTGACTGATTTTACTAGTGGGTCTACAATCCATTCAGCCCATCAAAGCTTTCCTTTATGGGAAAAAGTTTTGAAAGTCTGAAAAAAAGATGCTTTGAAAAATCATTTAAAGTTTAAAATTTTATTTGGTAGTCAATATGATTTCACTAGGGGAAAATCTTGCCTTACTAATATTTTATATTCTTTGAAGAGGGTCTGGATTTGGTGTATGTGGAGTTTCAGAGAGCACTTGACAAGATGTCACATAAAAAGCTTGTTAAAAAATTATCTCTGTGAGTGTGGGGAATATCTTGGCTCATTGGATTGAAAAGTGGCTGGATGGAAAGGTTGATAGATTAAGATCTCTGAAATTGTTTTTTTCTTGAAAAAAAGAAGACTTAGAGGAGATCTAATTGAGATGTTTAAGGATATTAAAGGAGTTGATGGTGTTGATGCATCATCTTTTTTTCATACCTAATGGTAAGAATAGTGGGACTAACAGCAAAAATATAAATTTTGGCAGGGTAGGAATCATTTTCAGCTGATACAGCTTTATGTTTCTAACAGGGTAGTTATTCTTTGACAGACTATTTTTGAAACCCCTTACAGTTCTTAACATTGAAACCAAATCGTCTCACATTTCTCTGAATTCCAAATATATCTAGTCCAAAACTTTGATTTTCCTAGTATTACACATGTGCTAAGTCAGCTGAAATTTTTTATTTATGTACTTACTAGTTCTTGAAGTGGAAAGTGTCATCACTGCACACTTATGAATAATTCAACAACACTTAGGTTTACAGTTAAGAAGTAGTATAGTGCTTTCAAGATGTGTCTTTTTAAAAGTATTCATATTTGTGAGTCGTATTAACCCGATGACTACAGGCTACTAACTTTCTTAGTAGGCAATGCAAGTCTTGCTATATTTCATTCCGACAATAAAACTAGTGGACGAATATTTTCGAAAATTCATAAATACTTTGACAAATGTAGGTAGTTTAAGAAACATAAAGCTTATTACTTTTAATAAATTTAGTTTCT